GGTGCAGGTGAGGTGGTTCCAGGATGGGCAGGAGCTGCCGGAGCACGTGGTGGCCACCGACGTGGTCCCCAACGGGGACTGGACCTACCAGGTGCTGGTGATGCTGGAAATCCCCCCCCGGCGCGGGGTCACCTACACCTGCCAGGTGGAGCACGTCAGCCTGGAGCACCCCTCAGCCGGCACTGGGGTACGGCCCGGCCCCCCCAGCATGGGGGGACACTGGTAGGGGGGTCGGGGTCTGAGGGTGCACTGGGGACATTGGGAGGCACTTTGGGGGGCAATGGAGAGGCTGAGGAGGAGGTTGGGGGGTCCTGGGAGGGCTGAGAGGGGCTGTGGGGAGTCGTGGGGGAGACTGGGAGGGAGTTTGGGGGAGCCTAGGAGGGATTGGAGGGAGTCTGGGGGGGCTTGGGGTGACTGGGAGGGGGTTGGGGAAGTGCCTGGGGGGCTTAAAAGGGACTGGGAGACGTTCAGGGGGTCCTGGGGGTGATGGGAGGGGGATTGGAGGCTCTTAAAGGGGATGGGAGGGGCTTTGTGGGATCCCTGGAGGGGCTGGGAAGGGACTGGCAGGAGGTTTCAGGGGGCCCTGGGTGGGCAGGGGGAGACCAGGACAGGGTTTTCAGGGGGTCCCGGGTGGTCTCTGGAGGTTTGGGAGGTCCTGACCCCCCCACCCCGGTTCTCCCCAGTGATGCCACAGAACACCGTCCACAGCAAGATCCTGGTGGGGGTCGGGGGCTTCGTGTTGGGTTTCGTCTTCCTGGCAGTGGGGCTCGGCTTCTACCTGCGGGAGAAGGTAAAGGGGGGTCCCCGGTGGTCGTGTTCCCCCTTCCCCAGAGTGTGTGTGCCCCCCTGCCCCCCCAGCCCGCTGTCACCCCCTTTTCTCTCCCCACAGAGCTCCTGAGCTGGCGGCAGCCACAGCCCCTCCCCGTGGCCTCGGGCCCAGCCGGGACACCCCAGTCCATCCCCGCCCGGAGTCTGGGGGGGCCGTATTACCCCCCGGGCCCTGCTTTTGTTCTCACACCAGCCGCCTGCTGCTCCCAGTGCTCCCAATAAAGCTTCCCAGTTCTCTGCAGTCCTGATTATTGTGGGATATTTGTAGGGGGGCTCCGAAAATCCTGGGAACGGGGGAGTTTGGGCAACGTCAGCCCTCCAAAATCCCACGTATTCAGGGCACCACAAAGCCAAACTCCAGCAATCCGGGACCTCCCAAAACCCACCTTGGACCCTCCCAAGCCGCGGGCAGAGCCAGCCCAAGCAGCAGCAGCCAATGGAAGCGAGTACTGCTTGAGCGTCATCAGTTGCTGGGCAGACCCGGTTTAAACTGAGCTCTTACAGAGCTCAGCCAATCAGAGAACGCCCTCGACTCTATTTTGGGGGCCCGTCGGAGCTCCGGGACACCCGGATCGCCAGGTTTGAGTTCAGCAGAGCTGTGGGATCCCTGGGTGCCCATTTGTGGGTTCCTCTGAGCAACCATTTGCCCCGCACCCCAGAACTCCCCACCTCTGGGGCTACAGCACTCCCAACGTCCCTCAGCCAATCAGGAAGCGCAACGTGAAATGTGGTCAATCAGAGTGCGCCTCGCTGATGACTCATCAGTTGTTGGGAAGACGCGACGCAAAATAGGCTCCCAACTTTGCCCCCAGCCAATCAGAGCGCGTCCAAAAATCCCCCGAAATGACCCCGCCCGGCTGGTTTTGGGGTGTCAGAACCTGCCTGGAGCTGGGGATGGAGCGTGTGTGGGGAACTGGTGCCGTACTGGTGGTACTGGTGGCGCTGCGAGCCCCCTCGACTGCGGGCGAAGAGCTCTCGGGTGAGCGGGGGGGGTGGGAAGGGGGGAAAGAGGAGAGAAAAGAGGGGATGGGAGCCCTAAAAGTGAGAGGGAGACGGGTTGGAACCCCCGGAATTAGTGGGAAGGGGGTGGGAGCCCCAAACTGAGCGCCGGGGGGTCTGGGGATTGGGGAGTCGGTGGGAAAGGGGTGGGAGAGGGGGGAAAAGGGAGGGTGGGAGAGCAGGAAGAGGGGTGTCATGGGGGTCCCTCGCTGTCCCCCACCACTGGAGCCCTGCAATGGTTCCCTGAGGCTCTGGGGGTGGGGTCGGATCCGTACTGGGGGGTCCCCAACCCCGCCTGTCTATCCCTGGGGGGCTGATGCAGGGATTCCCCCTCAGCCAAGAGCCGGTGCTGCGGTGGCCATGGGGCAGAGGGGGGTGAGAAAAGGGGTGGCCCCCTGAGCTCCCAACCTGCTGTGGGGGGTAGAGGGATGATGGGGGTGGGGACGGGGCACTCCTTGACCCGTGACCTGCACACACAGGGGTGTTCCAGAGGATGGCAAAGTTAGGGTGTCACTTCATCAACGGCACCGAGCGGGTGAGGTTCGTGGAGAGGCACATCTACAACCGGCAGCAGCTGTTACACTTCGACAGTGATGTGGGGGTCTATGTGGGGGACACACCGTATGGGGAAATCCAGGCCAGGTACTGGAACAGCCGACAGGACCTCTTGGAGGTCAAACGGGCTACGGCGGACACGGCCTGCCGGCACAACTACCAGATCGCCACCCCGTTCACTGTGAACCGCAGAGGTGAACGTGGGGCAGAGCGGCTCCCTCGGGAATTCCCTGCCCCGAGAACGACTCTGGAGCCCCTCAAACCCTCCCCTGGGAATCACCCCAGACTCCTGAGCCCTCCCTGTGCCCATCCCCGTGGCCTTGGGCCCCATCCCAGTGCCCCCAAATCCATCCCAGTCTCTCGCAGTGCCCTCCATTCCATTCCGATCCATTCCAGTTTTTCCACAGTGTCCCCCAGTCCATCCCAGCCTCCCTCATTGCCCCTCACTCCATTGCGATCCATCCCCGATTTTCCCAGTACACTCCAGTCCATTCCAGTCTCTCCCAGTGCCCCCCCCCGCGCCTCCACCCTGCTGGGGCCACAGCTCTCCCTTCCCATCAGCCAATCAGAGTGTGTCTCTCTGATGACTCATCAGTTGCCGGGCAGATCTGCAGTGCAGAGTTCCCTATCCTGGACTCAGCCTCCTAGTCCCACTTGGGTCCATCCCAGTCCTTCCCAGTCCCTTCCAGTCATTCCCATTACCTCTCACTCCACTCCCAGACCCTCTCAGTCCATTCCCAGTCCTTCTCAGTTCACTCTCACATCTCCCAACTCTCTCCCCAGTGACCCCCTCAGCCCATCCCCTTCCACCCCAGTCCATTCCCAGTCCCTCCCAGTGCCATCCCAGTCCCTCCCAGTGCCACCCAAACCCCTACCCATGTCCTACAAGCCCTCCCCCTTCTTGCCCAGTGCCCCCCAGCTCATCCCAGTGTCTCCCCCATCTCTCCCAGTGCTCCCCAGCGTGTCCATCTCGCTGGTGCCGTCGAGCTCCCAGCCCGGCCCCGGCCGCCTGCTCTGCTCCGTGATGGATTTCTGCCCTGCCCGGTGCAGGTGAGGTGGTTCCAGGATGGGCGGGAGCTGCCGGAGCACGTGGTGGCCACCGACGTGGTCCCCAACGGGGACTGGACCTTCCAGGTGCTGGTGATGCTGGAAATCCCCCCCCGGCGCGGGGTCACCTCCCCCTGCCAGGTGGAGCACGTCAGCCTGGAGCACCCCCTCAGCCAGCACTGGGGTACAGCCCGGCCCCCCCAGCATGGGGGGACACTGTCAGGGGGGTCGGGGGTCTGAGGGTGCACTGGGGACATTGGGAGGCACTTCGGGAGGCAATGGAGAGGCTGAGGATGAAGGTTGGGGGGTCCTCAGAGGGCTGAGAGGGGCTGTGGGGAGTCGTGGGGGCGACTGGGAGGGAGCTTGGGGGAGCCTAGGAGGGATTGGAGGGAGTCTGGGGGGTCTTGGGGTGACTGGAAGGGGGCTGGGGAAGTGCCTGGGGGGCTTAAAAGGGACTGGGAGACGTTCAGGGGGGTCCTGGGGGTGATGGGAGGGGGATTGGAGGCTCTTAAAGGGGATGGGAGGGGCTTTGTGGGATCCTGGAGGGGCTGGGAAGGGACTGGCAGGAGGTTTCAGGGGATGCTGGGTGGGCTTGGGGAGACCAGGACAGGGTTTTCAGGGGGTCCCGGGTGGTCTCTGGAGGTTTGGGAGGTCCTGACCCCCCCGGTTCTCCCCAGTGATGCCACAGAACACCGTCCACAGCAAGATCCTGGTGGGGGTCGGGGGCTTCGTGTTGGGTTTCGTCTTCCTGGCAGTGGGGCTTGGCTTCTACCTGAGGGAGAAGGTAAAGGGGGGGTCCCCGGTGGTCGTGTTCCCCCTTCCCCAGAGTGTGTGTGCCCCCCTGCCCCCCCAGCCCACTGTCACCCTCTTTTCTCTCCCCACAGAGCTCCTGAGCTGGCGGCGGCCGCAGTCCCTCCCCGTGGCCTTGGACCCAGCTGGGATCCCCAATCCATCTCCACCTGGAGTTTGGGGGGGTCGTGTGTCCCTCCTGACCCTGCTTTTGTTCTCACACCAGCCACCTGCTCCCAGTGCTCCCAGTCAGCCCTCCAAAATCCCACGTATTCAGGGCACCACAAAGCCAAACTACAGCAATCCGGGACCTCCCAAAACCCACCTTGGACCCTCCCAAGCCGCGGGCAGAGCCAGCCCAAGCAACAGCAGCCAATGGGAGCGAGTACTGCTTTAGCGTCATCAGTTGCTGGCCAGACCCGGTTTAAACTGAGCTCTTACAGAGCTCAGCCAATCAGAGAACGCCCTCGACTCGATTTTGGGGGCCCGTCGGAGCTCCGGGACACCCGGATCGCCAGGTTTGAGTTCAGCAGAGCTGTGGGATCCCTGGGTGCCCATTTGTGGGTTCCTCTGAGCAACCATTTGCCCCGCACCCCAGAACTCCCCGCCTCTGGGGCTACAGCACTCCCAACGCCCCTCAGCCAATCAGGAAGCGCGACGTGAAATGTGGTCAATCAGAGTGCGCCTCGCTGATGACTCATCAGTTGCTGGGAAGACGCGACGCAAAATAGGCTCCCAACTTTGCCCCCAGCCAATCAGAGCGCGTCCAAAAACCCCCCGAAATGACCCCGCCCGGCTGGTTTTGGGGTGTCAGAACCTGCCTGGAGCTGGGGATGGAGCGTGTGTGGGGAACTGGGGCCGTACTGGTGGTACTGGTGGTGCTGCGAGCCCCCTCGGCTGCAGGCGAGGAGCTCTCGGGTGAGCGGGGGGGGGTGGGAAGGGGGGAAAGAGGAGAGAAAAGAGGGGATGGGAGCCCTAAAAGTGAGAGGGAGACGGGTTGGAACCCCCGGAATTAGTGGGAGGGGGGTGGGAGCCCCAAACTGAGCGCCGGGGGGTCTGGGAATTAGGGAGTCCGTGGGAAAGGGGTGGGAGAGGGGGGAAAAGGGAGGGTGGGAGAGCAGGAAGAGGGGTGCCATGGGGGTTCCTCACTGTCCCCCATCACTGGAGCCCTGCAATGGTTCCCTGAGGCTCTGGGGGTGGGGTCGGATCCGCACTGGGGGGTCCCCAAGCCCACCTGTCTATCCCTGGGGGGCTGATGCAGGGATTCCCCCTCAGCCAAGAGCCGGTGCTGCGGCGGCCATGGAGCAGAGGGGGGTGAGAAAAGGGGTGGCCCCCTGAGCTCCCAACCTGCTGTGGGGGGTAGGGGGATGATGGGGGTGGGGACAGGGCACTCCTTGACCCGTGACCTGCACACACAGGGGTGTTCCAGAGCATGGCAAAGTTAGGGTGTCACTTCATCAACGGCACCGAGCGGGTGAGGTTCGTGGAGAGGCACATCTACAACCGGCAGCAGCTGTTACACTTCGACAGTGATGTGGGGGTCTATGTGGGGGACACACCGTATGGGGAAATCCAGGCCAGGTACTGGAACAGCCGACAGGACCTCTTGGAGGTCAAACGGGCTACGGCGGACACGGCCTGCCGGCACAACTACCAGATCGCCACCCCGTTCACTGTGAACCGCAGAGGTGAACGTGGGGCAGAGCGGCTCCCCTCGGGAATTCCCCTGCCCCGAGAACGACTCTGGAGCCCCTCAAACCCTCCCTGGGAATCACCCCAGACTCCTGAGCCCTCCCTGTGCCCATCCCCGTGGCCTTGGGCCCCATCCCAGTGCCCCCAAATCCATCCCAGTCTCTCGCAGTGCCCTCCATTCCATTCCGATCCATCCCAGTTTTTCCACAGTGTCCCCCAGTCCATCCCAGCCTCCCTCATTGCCCCTCACTCCATTGCGATCCATCCCCGATTTTCCCAGTACACTCCAGTCCATTCCAGTCTCTCCCAGTGCCCCCCTCCACGCCTCCACCCTGCTGGGGCCACATTCCCATCAGCCAATCAGAGTGTCTCTCTGATGACTCATCAGTTGCCGGGCAGATCTGCAGTGCAGAGTTCCCTATCCTGGACTCAGCCTCCTAGTCCCACTTGGGTCCATCCCAGTCCTTCCCAGTCCCTTCCAGTCATTCCCATTACCTCTCACTCCACTCCCAGACCCTCTCAGTCCATTCCCAGTCCTTCTCAGTTCACTCTCACATCTCCCAACTCTCTCCCCAGTGACCCCCTCAGCCCATCCCCTTCCACCCCAGTCCATTCCCAGTCCCTCCCAGTGCCATCCCAGTCCCTCCCAGTGCCACCCAAATCCCCACCAATGTCCTACAAGCCCTGTGCCCTCTCTCCCAGTGCCCCCCCAGCTCATCCCAGTGTCTCCCCCATCTCTCTCAGTGCCCCCCAGCGTGTCCATCTCGCTGGTGCCGTCGAGCTCCCAGCCCGGCCCCGGCCGCCTGCTCTGCTCCGTGATGGATTTCTACCCTGCCCGGTGCAGGTGAGGTGGTTCCAGGATGGGCAGGAGCTGCTGGAGCACGTGGTGGCCACCGACGTGGTCCCCAACGGGGACTGGACCTACCAGGTGCTGGTGATGCTGGAAATCCCCCCCCGGCACGGGGTCACCTACACCTGCCAGGTGGAGCACGTCAGCCTGGAGCACCCCCTCAGCCGGCACTGGGGTACGGCCCGGCCCCCCCAGCACCAGGGGGACACTGGCAGGGGGGGCAGGGGTCTGGGGGAGCACTGGGGACACTGGGAGGCACCTTGGGGGGTGATGGAGAGGCTGAGGAGGAGGTTGGGGGTTCCTGGAAGGGCTGAGTGGGGCTGTGGGGAGTCCTGGGGGAGATTGGGAGGGAGTTTGGGTGAGCCTGGGAGGGATGGGAGGGAGGTCTGGGGGGTCTTGGGGTGACTGGGAGTTGGTTGGGGAGGTGCTAGGTGGGCTGGGAATGGACTGAGAGGGGTTCAGGGGTGTCCTGGGGGTGATGGGAGGGGGGTGGAGGGTCCTAAATGGGATGGGAGGGGTTTTGTGGGATCCCCGAGGGGCTGGAAAGAAACAGGCAGGAGGTTTCAGGGAGTGCTGGGTGGGACTGGGGGAGACCAAGACAGGGTTTTCAGGGGGTCTTGGGTGGTCTCTGGGAGGTTTTGGGGGTCCTGACCCCCCCCGGCTCCCCCCAGAGATGCCACAGGACACCATCTGCAGCAAGATCCTGGTGGGGGTTGGGGGCTTCGTGTTGGCTTTCGTCTTCCTGGCACTGGGGCTCGGCTTCTACCTGCGGGAGAAGGTAAAGGGGGGTCCCCAGGGATCGTGTCCCTCTTTCCCCAGAGCGTGTGTGCCCCCCCAGCCCGCTGTCATCCCCTTTTCTCTCCCCACAGAGCTCCTGAGCCGCCGGCGGCTGCAACCCCTCCCCGTGGCCTCGGGCCCAGCTGGGACCCCCCAGTCCATCTCCACCTGGAGTTTGGGGGGTCGTGTATTCCCCCCGACCCTGCTTATGTTCTCTCACCAGCCGCCTGCTGCTCCCAGTGCTCCCAGTAAAGCTTCCCAGTTCTCTGCAGTCCTGGTGTTGAAGGGCAGGTACCCTCCCAAAGGGCTCCCAGAATCAGCTTATCCAAACTGTACAATGGTTGGCACCCGTTGTCTTTCTGCTTCCAGGAGTGTGTATTTTTCTGCCATGTCTGGTTCAATGTTTTCGCAGCTTAATGGCTCAAACTGTATCTGCTTTGTTTAAAGAAAAAGAGGGAAGTGTAGGGATTTTTAGTGCTAATATAGAGGATATGCTGCAGCTGTGAGAACATAACCTTATGTTTCAATTGTGAAAACATGATCTGTTGTTGTGATGACCTTCTGATGGTCCCAGGATGTGAAAGATCTCCCAAGAGAAGCAGTAGCAAAACTAGAAATACAAATAGGGTCTCAGTACCGGCTCTCAGAGTGGGAAAGGACAGAAAGAATGTTAAAGAAACAAAGCTGATAGAAGAGTATTGTTAGAAAA